ATAATGCAACTCTCACAGATGCTGAGATCAACTGACTTCAGTTCTTGTAGCTTACCTCTGGACTGAAGTTCTTTAATACCTCTCTGACTCATGTGACCAAGTCTGCAATGTCATAACTCTGTTATACTCTCTGCAACAGTAGTATCAACACTGTTAATTAAACCAGTAGTCATACATAACGTATATGTTTTCTTACCCCGAGCTAATACCAGTGCTCCTTTAGTAACCTTCCAGGTGCTATCTGAAAACACTACTGAATGTCCACACTCATCAAGCTGCCTAACATAAATGAGGTTCTTCTTCAGTTCAGGAATGACCTTTTGCAGAGTCCACTTGTTCTTGTTTAGAAGTGCAAGGTCGATATCTTCAATTCCTATCACGTTCAGAGCTTCTCCGTCTGCCAGATATACTTTCTCAAAGTCACCTGCAATATAATTTCGCATCAATTCCCGATGGAAAGTTGTATGGAAAGAAGCTCCTGAATCCAATATCCAATCAACAACAGAATTATGAACTGTCAGCAGTAGTACATTCTGTGTTTCTTCAGCTACCACATTTGCATTGTCAATCTTTTTTTTCTTAGGATTCCTGCAATTCCACTTTATGTGGTTAGTTTTTCCACAATTCCAACAAGTTACTTATTTACCAGTCCTTAACTTACTTATACCAGCAGGTTGTCTGCTGATGTTCTTTGATTTTGATTTTCCCCTGTTTGAGTTCTTGTTCTGTGATCTCCCCCTGGAATCAACATTTAGTGTCGAACTCGAACTTGAGATTTTGCCAGAATCTTTCCTGCGCACCTCCTTAGCCAAAATCAAATCATAAATATCTTCAAATTGCAGTTTAGATTTACCTGCAGAATTACTGACAGTCATCCCCATAGCTTCCCAGCTATTTGTCAATGAATCCAACAAAATCAATGCATGTATCTCATCATCAAATTCAATTTTCACAAATGATAATTGATTTGTGATACTATTAAAATCATTCAGGTGTTGTACAACATATGTACCTTCCACCATCTTAAAATTAAATAACTTCTTCATCAGATATACCTTGTTATTCGCTAATGATTTTTCATACATACCTGACAGGGCTGTCATAAGATCTGCAATATTCATTTCCTTGACGACGTTGTGAGCAACGGGCCTCGATAGGGTCAATAGAATAACCCCCAGAACGTGTCGATCCAACAAGTTCCATTCAGCTTCATCCATTCTGTCAGGTCTTTTCCTCAATAACGGAATAATGAGTTTCTTCTCATAGAGAATATTTGAATCTTCCAGTAACCAAAATCTGTGTCATCAAACTTCTCGATCCCTAAAACCCTCACTTCATCCGTAGTCATTGACTCTGATACTAGTTGGGGGGAGCGAGGGCGAGTATCTTGAAATTGAGAGGCGTGTCTCCTGGAATGAAAAGAAGTGTCTCTTGGTGTGAAGAGGTGTGTCTCTTGGATTAGCGGGTTGGGGGGAGCGAGGGGGTGTTTGCAAATTCATCTGTGGGTTTTATCTATAAATAGATGTGTAACCCTATGAGTATGAAACACCTCTGAAATAGTGAATTCGTCGCTCCGCTCCCGATGATGTAGACATCTTTGTCGAACCTTGTTAAATCTTTGTGTTCTTCTTTTCTGGTATAAATTTTCTCATTCCATTTTTCGCTTCGTCGTTGACCGTTCTATTTCTATATATAACAACAACCGGTATAAGAGCGAAAGATGCCTACACCCTCGGGATTTAACGCAAATTCAGAAGAAGAACACAAAGATTTAGGGCGAAACAACGCAAATCCAGAAGAATAACACAGAGATCTAACGAGGTTCAGCAAAGATGCCTGCATCCTCGGGAGCGGAGCGACGAATTCACTATTTCAGAGGAGTTTCATACCCATAGGGTTACACATCTATTTATAGATAAAACCCACGGATAAATTTACAAACAATAATCTTTCACTCATGTTTGTCACAATCCGAAGTTCTCTGTTTCATCGACATTATCTCGAGTTTTGCATCAGACATTGTCATTTAAAATTAATTTTGCAGTGAATTTTTCCTGTCTTGTATTGAAACAAAACACACCACAAATGAATTCAAATAAACATGAAATTTTTCCTGTCAATTGCAGCAATTTTCCCACAGATTCCTGTGATTCATGAATCAAATTTTTCACATGAAGCACATTTCCTGTTCGCACAAAAGTCGGCTAAAATACTGCGAACACCAGCCAAACTCCACATATCACAATTTCTCCTGCGACAAACCTGCGAACAATCCGCGAAATTCACGAACTCCACCTATCACAATTTCTCCTGCGATGAACATACGAACTCCGCTGACTGAACTCTATCTGTCGCAACTCTTCCTACGACAAACTTGCAAACTCCGCTGACCGAACTCTACCTGTAGCAACTTCACCTGTCACAAATCTTCTACGAAGAACTTGCAAACTATGTTGGCCTTCTGTCGCAAATCTAGCTGTCGCTGTTGCCTTCTCGCGCGAACCTGCTATCTGGCCAGCCTCCTTCGCGAACTCCAGACGCTTGAACCCGCATGCTGCCGCGGATTGCCTGTCTTTTTTTGCCGAACTGTAACTGTCGCAATTTCTCCTATCGCAAATCTAGCTGTCACCACAGCCCTCTCGCGCGAACCTGCTATCTAGCCGACCTCTTTCACAAACTCCAGACGCTTGAACCTGCGTGCTGCCGCGGATTGCCTGTCTTTTTCGCGGAAGCCCTTCGCGAGTTCCTTCGTCCAAATGCCGCAAACCGCTCCGCGAACCTCCAGCAAAGGAATTCGCTTCAAGCAAAGGAAATCCAAAGTTTCCTTCCTTCAGAAATTCAAATCCAAAGTTTCATTCCTTCAGCCTCTAGCAAAGGAAATTCCATAAGAAATCCAGAGGAAATATTCCTCTAGTAGAAATCAAAAATTCCGTTGATCCCTTCCTTTCCTGATTCCGTCCGCCCAGCACCCTCCCTTCTGCATCATTGCTGCGGCTCGCAACCGCCTGGAGGGAGCGCGAAACCAACCCGCGGACTCCTGTAACTGCCTCGCTGAAACCGACCATGCCAAACTTTCTCCCGCGCAGACTCTTCCTCCTCTGTCGCGGATCCTCTTCCCGTCGCCCCTGCGAACGGTAGCCGAAGCCCCTGCCGCGAACCGTAACCGAAGTCCCTGCGCACCACGAATCCTCTATCGCGAACCCTGGCAGAATCATGGGCTCCACTTCAAGTCTGAAGCCCACAAACTCCCGAAGCCCCTTCACGAACTTTGTCTTCGAACTTCCTCTGCGCCGATCGCGCCTCTCCAAAGGATCGCGCACGAACAAATGCCCCGATCGTGAATCCCTTGCTTGCGCAGAACCGCTTCTGCCTTTCGCGCCTACTGCTCTGCCTTCACCTGTTCTGTGTCGTGAGAACATATCGCGAAGCCGAAGTGCTGCCTGGTTCGAGAGCACTGCATCCCGACCAAATCCACAGAATTCGCTGAACTTCCGCGGGAACTCCTTCCCGCAAGCAATTCGCGAACTCCTTCCTCGGCCGAATTCACCGAAGCCAGAAAAACTCTGAAGCGCGAACTCTGAACTGCAGCGAAACCATTCGCCAATCCCTTCGCCTCCGCCTCTGACCTTTCTGCGGCCAAATTGTCGCAAAACTCATCTAGCCTCAAACTCCTTCCGGTGTCGCTACTCTGATCTGATCTGCCGCGAATGCAGATCTTTCGCGAACGCGCTAGCCGCAAACCGCCGAACTAAAACCTTCTTCTTCCTCGTTCTTCCTGGGCCGATCTCCTCTGTCTTGGAACCTCTGATATTAATTATTGTAAAATTTAAGGCGAAACAACGCAAATTCAGAAGAAGAACGCAGAGATTTAACGAGACTCAGTAAAGATGCCTACATCCTCGTTAGCCGAGCGATGAATTCACTATTTTAGAAGAGTTTCATACTCATAAATAGATATAAGTCACGGATATCTTCCTAAAATTAGAACTTTCAATAAAATATTCAGTAAATTCCGTCATAATACTTCTTGGTCTCATGATTTAATCAGGAATTATACTAGGGTTTGCCATATAATTTTTGAGCTGCGCAAATTATACTACCTTCTTGAATCACAATTTCCATCTATTTTAAGTTGAATCACAATTTTAAATGAATCATGGAGAAAGAATGATTCAAGACATTTACAACGCTCTCAGTATCTGTTTTTGTCCTTTATTTAAATCCAAAATGTTGAAAATTGTCAGCCAAATAATTTACCATAATTTAATCATTTAACATCCGCCATAACAAGCAAATTTATTAGGATTTAAATCCTCCAGGACTAAATAAATATGAATCAACACGATTTAGTAAATCCTATTTGTAGCAAAACAGCCCATTAATGTTGCTAACAGGGATTTACAGAAAATGTTGTTAATAATGTACAAATATGCTTCTTAGGTGTTCCAATCCGGAGCTTCCAGCTTTCGCTTAGTATTTGGGTCCATATTGAATCTTTAAGGGTGCCTTAGCAATCAACATTTGCAATTTGCAGAACCAAAGGGCGAAAGCATCAATGCTTGCTTCATAAGGTCGGTTGATGAAACCTTCTCATTCCGTCCGGCAGAGTCATGGGATGACGATGAATCATGCTTGATAAAGCAACGAGCAAATGCGAGATAAAACGAGAAATAAGGGAAAATCCATAACAAGTTATCACTTCTATGCTCGTCAAGAAATGTTTCAAACAATCTATACTCTTGTGGTCTCAAACAGAAATAATCGATGCAAGCAAAAGCCGATCTAATCTGGCGGTAATAGATTTTTATACAGTATCTGTCACGCAATATACTGATGAATACAAGAAGATGAATGCTATTCCATACAGATTTGAGCATTAGCCGAGAAATAAATCGCAAGATAGAAAATCACAATCTAAACATTAAATCGGATTAATGAATCATGAAACCAAAACAAACGGATCATTAACACTTAAATTGTGTAGTTCAGAGGAAACCAACCTTGTCGTCGAAGAGATCAAAGGGTGAGGGAGTGCCGGCAATGGGAAAATCGTACTCCTCTACCTCTTCGCCCCCGCCATCACCACCGGCATCTGAGAGGAGATTGGACGAGCCGCTCATCTTGCTTTGTTAGGAGTGGCTGAGCGGACATATCTTCGCTGCTCTATATATCGAATGTTAAATCTAACGATCGAATGGCCCTTATAGCTCAGTGGTAGAGCGTCAGTCTTGTAAACTGAAGGTCCGTAGTTCGATCCTGCGTGAGGGCAACTCGACGTATTTGTTTTACATATTATGAAATCATGTTAATTTAATATATAAATAACAGATGTTTAAAATCTAATTTAAAAATATATATTAAAAAAATGAAAACAATTTTTAAGAGCTTAATATAATTGTCAAAATTATTTTTTAATAATTTATTAAAATTTTTATATATTAATAATATCACATTAATATATAAATTTTATAATTTTATAAATAACAAAGATTTACAAATCGATGCATAAGCTTCACAATTTTTTTAAAAGAACGCAAAGAGAAGATTAAGAAAATTTTTAGGTGATGTTTTATCTTAGATTATGTCAACAGCAGGAGACATAACCGTTGTTATAAAATTTCAAAAATTTCATATTTGGGTCTTTGGTACCTAAAATTCCATTTGTAAATTGATTTCTGTCAACAGCTCAGCCCGAAAATTAAAAATATATTTTGCAATCCAAGTTATATTGAAATCCTATTCTAAAGAACTTACTAAGGGGTCGTTTGGGACAACTTATAGGTGTGGGCGGCGTTTTGAAAACGCAATCACGTTGTTTGGTTCATTTGTTTGTCAAGCTTATTAAGAAACACCGTTTTTGTTTCCGTTGGATCGACCCCTCGTCCCACGTCTTGAATCTGTGTTCAGCGGGTTATTTTCTCCTGTGCCCTTTTGTTGTCCATCTCCTCCCTCGCTTGATCTCTCTTGCCCAAGGCCGATCGATCGCAATACCGTCCCTCGCCTCTCACTCTACCGCTCTTGTCGTATGTTGATCACATGCTCTTGTCCTAGGTAACGTCCCTCGCCTCTCTCCCTCACCTCCCGTTGGATTGCTTGTTGGTGAGTTGGCTCACTTCTTGATAATGTGATGTTTTCTATAGTTTATGGAGGATTTTTTGGTTGCAAAGGATGATCTATCTGTTCCGTTACGTAATTTTTTGATTGCAAAGTACTTTTTGCTTAAGAGATTTTTTGTTTGCAATGGGTTATCTATAATGTGATGCTTTCTATGTTCTTTGTGGATTCCTTTGAGATATTTTACGTTTTTTGGGTAATTTTGAGGTTAATTTGGTGAATGACACTTTGCATGATTCTCCTTTTTGAAAGGTTGTTAGAGTTGCTCTGATGCTACGTTTGCTTTGGCAGGGGATGCGTTGGAGGTTGTGTGTGATGTCCTTGTTGGTGGCCTTGGGTGCGTGTTGTGCATGGGCTTGGGTCTGTGGGTTGATGGTGGCATATGTGTGTGTGTGTGTGTGTGTGTGTGTGTGTGTGTGTGTGTGTGTGTGTGATGTGCTTGTTGGTGGCATGTGAGTGTGTATGATTAGGTGTGTGTTGGTAGCGGTGGAGGTTGTGTTTAGGGCTGTCAAAAAAGCTCGTTGTTTGCGAACAGTTCGTGTTCGGTTCGTCAATGAGTTCGTGTTCGATTCGTTCGATAAGTAAACGAGACAAACGCGAACAAATTTTTTTCGTTCGGTTAGTTAAACGAACCAAACACGAACAGTGATGCGTTCGTTCGTGTTCGAATCGTTATTGTTTGAAATATAAAATAATATAAAATAATTATATATATATAATTTATTATATTTTAAAATATTAAAG